CCGAGGCAGGTGGCTTCCGGGGAGGGGCGCCCCGCGGGGCTGTCCATCTGCGCGGGGGAGGGGTTGGGGCCGTTTTTCCCGTAGATTTCACCTGCTAACGGTGGGCTTCTCGCCTTTGCACTTCAGGTCTCCAGCCAGTGGATTCCGGTCGACTGGCGGAGATTGGCCGACGCCCTGGAGAAGCTGAAACCAGAGAGCCTTTTGTCCCCCCCCTTTCCTCCGTCTGCACTCTGTCCTCACTTACACTACGTTTCTGCTGTGGTCTGCGGTGGATGACCTCAATATGAGTTTTGCCTGTGCGGTGTCTTTGTTTGGGGAGGTAACTTTGCGCTGGGAAATGCTCCGACACGACACGGAAGTGGGCCTAGATTGTGAGCTCCTGCAGCAGTCGCGTTGGTCCTGGGCTTTGGTTATTTCTGAGTTTGGAGGTGCTTTGTTTGCTCTTTCCTTGTGCGACCCGATAGCTCCCTGGGACTTGGGGTCTGTGTGGGACGCCAGACCCGGAGTTGGCGGTCTCCAGCTCTGCAGGACCGAGGGCTGCTGGCTGCGGGGAGAGGACTCCATGCAGCAGCAGCTGAAGACGCTGAGGAAGGGACCGGACTTCCACCGGCCCCGACGGGGCTGATCTGGCTGGGACTGGTGAATCCGAAGGTGGAAGATGGCATTGCCTGTATTTTGGGACTTGAATTTCTTTCTGTGTGAGACCAAAGGAGGAGAGATGTATTTTGTTCAAAATTTAAATTTTATGTGGCACACTATCCGATGTAACCTGTCTGGTCAGTTTGTGTGGACAACCTAACTCAGCTTTATGGGACGTGGAACCTAGGTGGGGACGAGATCCCGGCATTCTGTACAAGCTGACGTAAGGCCCTGATGCGTTTCAGGGGATACAATGAAAGAGAGCTTTGCCTTCGAGGGGCTGGGGAAGGAAAGCAAGGACTGTCTGCATCGGACCCTCAACCCGACAGGGACTGGGTGTCTGAGGTTCATAGTTGTCCAGCTAGGTCATTGGAGTAGCAGACCTGACAAGTATTTGAGGTCACAGCCCTACCACGTGTTTAAAAAAGTTACCATGTTAATAAAAGTATCATTTGCTTGAAAAGACAAAAGACCTTCTTTTAGAGTGAAATCTTCCTCGTCCTCGTTGCCAACTGGAAAAGTGGTTTTTGATGCTCGCAGTAACCTCTAACCAGGGAAGCTTTATCTGCATGCTGCGCTGGGAGTGAGGGGAAGGGCATCTCATGCTGTGTGTGGTCCAGGCTCCTGCCTTCAGATGCCAGAGGACGTTCACTAGTCCTTGCAATGGGGGAATAAGTGGTGAGATGGGGGCCCACCCCCTTCAGAAGGGAAGGGCATGCTGGAAGTACTGCTGCCCATGTCCCCCAGCTGGTCCTCTCTGAAAACATGTCTCAGCTTAAGAGCTGCCTTAGCCCAGGTCGCGCCCCCTTTCACAGGTGCCCATCTCCAGGGCTAAGTGGGCTGGGGTTCAAGGCCATTCCCCTCACTGCTACTTGGGGCAACTTTGAAGGGCATCTCGGCTTCAGAGCTCCCTGTGGGTCCGCTGAGGCATTTGTTAGGCCCTCATCACAGTCCTGCTTCTCCCTTCCCCAGGGGTTAATCCCTACAAGCTTTCCTGCTCTCTGACCTTCATCAGAGTGCCTCCTCGGGGCCGGGGATGAACGTGAGATGATAGAAACTCACCATCTAGATGCCGTGTTTTTAGGGGACTGGGGGAGAGCCAGGGAGCATTTAGAGCAAGTGAAGGGTGACCCTGGCCTTAAAGAATGAGTACACGAGAGAGAGGCACATCCAGGCCCGGGGAACAGGAAGAAAACACCAGAGTTTGGGAATTTTCTGAGCACGTTCTAAGGGTGAGAGACGTGGGGAGGACGGAATTATGAACCAGGAAACCACCACCACCCAAGCTGCATTTGGTACGTTTGCTAACACAAGGATTCATCTTGGTACATCAACTACAGGCTATTCTGATTCACCAGTTTCCCACCAAAGCCCTGTTTCCGTTTTAGGGCACCACATTGCATTTGGTAATTGATTTTTAAAATAGGTACTACAACCCTGGCTGGTTTGGCTCAGTGGACAGAATGTCAGCCTGTGGACTGAAGGGTCCCGGGTTCGATTTTGGTCAAGGGCACTTGCCTGGGTTGCAGGCTCGATCCCCGGTAGGGGCATGCAGGAGGCAGCCGATCCATGATTCACTGATGTTCCTCTCCCTCTCTGAAATCAATAAAAATATATTTATAAAATAAAATAGGTACGTACTACAAATGGCACACAGTTCAAAAGATGCAAAAGTGGCTTTCACTCCCCAGTTTCCCAGTTTCTCTCAGAAGACAACCATTTTCCAGTGTCTTGTATATCCTTCCAAATATGGGTGAGCACAAAACTCACCCAAACTTTTTTTTTTACCTACATGGTAACACATATAACCTGTGAATGTCCTTAGAGTGTTGCTTTTGTCCACCTAAACCATAGGTCAGCGATTCTCAACCTGTGGGTCACGACCCCTTTGGGGGTCGAACGACCCTTTCACAGGGGTCGCCTAAGACCTTCGGAAAACACATATATAATTACATGTTGTTTTTGTGATTAATCACTATGCTTTAATTATGTTCAATGTGTAACAATGAAATTGGGGGTCACCACAACATGAGGAGCTGTATTAAAGGGTCAGGCATTAGGAAGGTTGAGAACCGCTGCTCTAGGTCTACCTTTTTAAAATGGCTGCACGTGTTCTTTGTACCATAAGGTTAAGAACCAGAGGTGATTCTTGCACCAGTTTGAGAACCATTGTTCTACATCCTTTTCAGTAACTCCTTAGTTCCTCTTCCTTGTGAGTTTAGTCACAATTGAAATGCAGCTGCCATTCAGGTTTCCCCGGCTCGGCTCCTAAGTCCGTCCTGGCTTGCCAGTAATTGGAGGATTGATTGATTCTTGCATTTTCTAAGCAAAAAACCTGACGAACCCTTCTGAGAGGCTAGATTGAGACTAGGGTTGCCGGAAGCTTTTCATGGCAGATCCATATGTCCCCCGTGAGCTCCAAGTCCTCTGGCCCTTTCCTGGGAGCCCTGCGGAGTTCAGACCACGGATGGCTGTGCAGACGGGCTGTTGGGGATTCTGGGACAGGTCCCTGAGGCGAGGACCTAACTGCTCGGGTAGCTCGGGTGTCACAAGTGTCCTTTTATATCAGAGTGCTATTACAGAAAGAACCCCAGAGCCATGGGAGCATGGAGGACTAGGTAATGAGCTCTGATGAGAAGGAGGCAGAGTATGCAGGATGTTTATGCTCCCCTAGTTCCCCACGTGGCCAGGATGGGGCTGGGAGACGGTCCCCAAAGTGGTACCACAGAGGCGTCTGCATCCGGATGTTTCAGCAGAGGTGACCCCTGGGAAGAAAAATTTGAATCTCGTGGACATTATGGGAGGACTGGCGACAGCCAAGGACACAGTTAAGACTTGGTGGAGGAGGGGGAGTTAACAAAGGCCTGACTCCAGGACAGCCTGCAGAGTTCCTCACCTTCCCAAGGAGAAACCTCAGGATCCAGGCTGCTGGGACACGGGAGGCCTGGCTCCGGCACCTGCTCCCTGTTCCCTGTGGCCTTGAGCAGGCGCTGGCTTGTGTCAGGTTCTTTCCAGCATGACATGTTTATGATTTCTCCAACTAAAGCTCACCTGGAGTAAACTGTTCTGGGGCAATTAGCGCTGTTCCAATTCTCCACCTCCCAGGCACCGGGGCGGGGTGCACTCGCTAGCCCCCAGGTGGTGGTGTGTGACTGATTCTGGTCAATGAATTATAAAAGAAAGTCACACCCAAGCCAGAACCTCCTGTGAGAGACCCTCCAGAGCTCTCTTCCCTCTGGCACAGGGACCAGCAACGTGCAAGATGGGTGGTTGATCGTCAGCTCCCGTTCCTTTGATGACAGTAGCTCCCTGCCCACCTATGATGAACACACAGCACAAAGGAGGAACAACCTTCGCGGTTTTCCCCAGGCAGTGGATCAGCAGGCGTGGATTCCCATCCTCTTCCTGAGATGAACGGAAATCTGGCGAGGGCTTGCGTCATGCAGTTGCTGCCCAAAGTAAGACCCTCTCCCTGGCCAATTCTATTTCCCCCTCTTCTGATCCCCATGATGTTCTTTTTCTTTCTTTTTTTTTTTCTTCCCCAGTGTGGGGTGTGCTGGAGGCAGCCAATCAATGATTCTCATCATTGATGTTTCTTCCTCTCCCTCTCCCTTCCTCTCTGAAATCAATAAAAATATATTGTAAAATAAATAAAATTACAAAGGAGAAAGGCATACCAGAAATGGAGAACTTTGGGTTTTTATTTTTTATATGAAAATACTATGTGTAGTTAACAATATGCTAAAACATTTTTTTAATATATATTTTATTGGTTTTTTACAGAAAGGAAGGGAGAGAGATAGAGAGTTAGAAACATGATGAGAGAGAAGCATCAACCAGCTGCCTCCTGCACACCCCCTACTGGGGATGTGACTGCAACCAAGGTACATGCCCTTGACCGGAATCGAACCTGGGACCCCTCAGTCCCCAGGCTGACACTCTCTCCAGTGAGTCAAACCAGCCAGGGCCATTTTTTTTTCTGGAAAAATATATATCACCCAAATTGAATAAGGCAGAAGTAAAAAATAAACAAACAACTAAGTGGATCTAATCCAGAGAAGAAATAAAGAAAGGCTCAGCCCTAGAGATTATATGGGCAAACTCTTGAAAAAGTTGAAGGACATATAATTCCCTTTCTGAATGCATAAAGATATTAAAATTTATTTCATTTTATAAAGCAAATATTTATTATAAAATCTATCAAAATGGTACCAAAATAACACTCAAAAAACATCAACTCACATAAGGAAATCAATGCCAGAATTCCCCATAAAATTATCAGTAAGTTAAATTCAATTAACATGATTAGGTAGATTTTATCCTAGAAATGCCAGAATATTTTTAATACTAAAATAATTGAAATAATTTTGGTCATATAAGAAAAAAGTGGCCGAAACCGGTTTGGCTCAGTGGATAGAGCGTCGGCCTGTGGACTGAAAGGTCCCAGGTTCGATTCCGGTCAAGGGCATGTACCTTGGTTGCGGGCAC